GTCTAAAGACAATAATTTCAGTTAATAGAGAAATGTTTTATTTCGTCGTTTTTTCCCATCCTTTTGGTTTACACGTTTGCTTTGTACACTAAAGCGTGTGTTCATATACCGCTGTTTCTACACGCTATCGATGTGATCAGGGAGAACATGATATCCTCCAGCAATTTACTTCTTATGAAAACACTTAATGAAAACATATTAGGTGAAAATATATATACCCGTTAGTATCTTAGTACCTTAGTATCGACCTGTTTAATTGCAATGGCCCCAACCGTAACGATCGCTGGCCAGGACTTGAATATAATTTATTACCGTTATTAAAACAACTCGTCAACTGAGCGGACCTATGATTTAAACAGTAAAATAGGGAAATTCCAGAGTTCGAAGTGTATTTATTTTGGGCGCTCTTCCACATAAACAAATTAAACCGCATTTACGCGTACTTACATGCATGTACCAGTAATTCGTGTCATGGGTAAATTCAGTTTATTAGATGAAATAAAACAAATGCATAAGATTAATCTTCCCAAACAACACGTTTTTAAAACAATCTATCTGATATAACTGACGGTATAAAATAACAAAGAAAATAACGGGTTTGTGTTTGTATTTAATTTGGGATGAGAACAAATCTTAACCTGTCAAATCACTTATAAAACATACTTCGTTTTCCAGACACTAATTGTCATGCGTAATCTTCACATGCACTGACCAAGATGTCACAAGTTTGAAATGTATGGCTTCTCATTGCGCGAGTTTTGTCAACACATGTCGGAGTAGACTATCTAAGCCAATTGATTCCCAAAGAAAACTGCATAGGAAGGGTTTTTTTGGGGGGTACACTTTTTAACGGGTAAAATTCATTCGACGCTCGATAGAATTTTCAAATACAAGTGAAATATTTAGGTTACTTGCACCCGACCTAGTATTTTGTATGCAATAATATTGTAAGTTAGGAAGAAAATAATACAAACTCAAAAGTACTTAATTTTGTTTTCGATTTTCCTGACAATTAAAAATGTGACCTCAACATACAATTATCATGATAATTATATACATCCTGTTTCATGTTCATGAAAGAAATAGCAACTCGTTAAATAATAACATAAGAGAGATAAATATATACTGTTTCTTTAATACGCAAAGAAAGTGGTCTTTTCGGCATTCAAAATGCATTGAATTTGAATTGAATAAGTGAAAGGCAGTTAAGACTAGCTGATTAAAACGAGCGAGTGATAATTAAACAGTAAGACGAAATCATATGAAAGATTCGAAATGATTTTAAAGTAATTTTCCACAAAGCGCATATATCTCAACAATGCAATGTTTATAAGAATAAATATGCAACTTTCTTGTAATTCAGCGAATAAAATATAAATTGAAATGTACTAGCGACTTAATCAAAGATATGAAATAATCTGAAAGATTCAACATATTTATCCACTCATCACTTAGTTAAAATGTATTTGGAAGGCCATTCTATGATTTGTTTTGTGTATGACCTTAGGTCGCTGGTTCACACGCCGATTGATCCTCGGTGACCTCCTTTGCCACGCGCTATCGGGAGGGGTTACATAATTGTAAACACACAAGGTGAATGTAAAAGGCGTGTACTTAATGGCTGTGAATAGTCTATGTTTAAAGTTTTGTTTTATTTTCTAACTTTATTGTTTGTTTTTATATGATAAGAAGAAAAGGTTATCTCTTTTTTCCCTGTTTAGTAGGTTGGTTTACCCAAATTTGAAAACAAACGAAATAAAAGGGAAAGTTGTCAGTAAATAATTTGGAAATAAAGCACAAAATACTTCAAGAACTTGATTCTAAAGAATATTAGCATCTAATGTAGCAAGGTTTATTATTTATAGTAAGTTTATTTTAATTACACGCATGAAGAGCTCTTGTTTACTTGCTGAATGAAAACACTTACCTGTATATGTGTTATGCTTCTAGCTCATTTAGAACACAAGACTCAAACAAAATAACGTTTTCTTGAGATCAATAAGATGTTAAATAACAACTTTTATTACGGCAGCTATTTCGAAATATTTACCGTTTTTGAGTTATAAAGCAAAAACTTTAAAGGGCCCCAGATCCCTAATTTTAGGGGCCAGACCCTTTTTAGTGGTCTCAAATGAAAGGCCTTAAAATTGTGCACAACTTTTATTCTACATGTTTTATCAAAATATTTTTAGTTTAGAAGATAAAAAGGAAAATATGTGTAAATTTTCGCTCTTTTAGGCGTTCTAATTTTTGACCCCTCTCTAGCGCCATTTTGAATACAGAAATTGAAAAACAAAAACCGATGTGCACAACTTCAGTGCTTCCATTATTTAAATTCGGTAGAATTTCTACTCCAGCTTTTGTAGTCTCTGAGCCTTTGTCTGGAAATGAAGCCTACTAAATTTTCATTTAAAGGGAGATAACCCAAAAGCGGAAGTGGATTTTTGAAATGTTTGACAGCATTCTGGTAGAGTTTTGTAACGTCTATAAACCCTGCAAATTTGAGCAAAATCCGTTGAGAAATGAGCAAGATATGAGGTCTCAAATTTGGCGTCTAGGAAAAAAAAAAAAGAATAATAAGAATAATCTTAACCATCAGAATCAGTAGAAGGTCTTCCGCCTGGAGCGGAAGACCTTAAAAAAAACACAATGCAATACGATTTTGTCCAACTTTTTTTTTTTTTTTTTTTTTTTTTTTTTTTGTATTTTATTCCTTGATATCTTGAAGGCAAGCTGTTTGCATATTTTCGCTGATGATCCTAATCTACTGAATGTCTGAAAATTATGTTCCATGAATGTCGGTTTCACACCCAAATCTGTAAAGAAGTCAGTCAAACATTGAAAAAATCACACATTTAAAGGTCTTTTATTTTGGACATTTAAAAAGATTTATTGTTTGCCTAGTTAAAATGAGCCACTAGCATAGTACCAAAAATTGTGAAATTCGGGTACCCTGGATCAACATATAAGACCCTAAGGCGGTGCAAAATTGGAATATGCTAAGATAAATATTAAAAATTTGAAAATCTTGTTCATTAATGAAGATCTAGCAGACAATCAACTGTTTACATAATTATCATGAGCAACTATGAAAATTCTTGTCCCTTCCATTAGGACCCAACGGTTTTTTTTCTTCTTAGTCTTATAAAGTGAACATTTATTGATTGATAAGTTTCTTTGACATTCATCGTATTTCCGGGCCATTTAGCACTAAAATGCTTGCATGATAACATAAGCAAGAACAAATTACTCACTTGAAAAAAGGGGCAGGTAACAAACTGTGATCATCTCGTAAATCCCGTAAACAATACAAAACATGCAAGGTAAAAACCGGATCTCAGTTAAGATCGGATTCTAGGAGGAATAAGCATCCCCTCTCTACCGTTTGGGTCAGATGGCTGTGGGGGTCTCGAGAGGTGATACATATGCCACGAAGTCTCACTAATAACACTTCAAGTAAATGTTTGCCGTATCAGAGTGTCACATGTCACACCTCTTCTTTATGGTAATGTTCATTGTCTAAGGCAAAAGACGAGTCCTCAGCGCCTTTAAATAACTGAAGCCGGTTGTTGAGGAAAGGAAATCCCCAACAGAAAAACCTCCGGGTTCAGGGGATTGTGCTCGGGATCAGCAACCCCAACACATAAAAAATTAACTGCTACAGAAACGGACCTGACTTATGTGAAGAAATTCATAGAGAGGATTAAATAAGTAGCAAGTATTATTGTTTGTCAGTAAAGTATAAAATTTAAGGACAGAGGACTTTGTCACAATGTAATATGTATGGGGTGGACCTTAGAATATACCTATTGTTCAGATGCTTGTGGATTTAATGACAGCAATGTTAGCGGCCTAAAAGCATCTAGTTATGATTTTATTAAAAATGATATGGTGTTTATTTCTGTTTAACTAGGACTATTGAGACAATACGCATTGCACTTTGTAAACACTGTCATAAACAAAACTCACGTTGTTATTGTTTTTCTAGACGGTTTTGTGAGATATTCTTGTACAGATAGTAAGAGACAGTGATATTTTGATGTTTGACGTCATTTTTCATCGTTATCTACCATATTACGACTGTAATTTATTTATTTGTTCAAAATTCACAACACATGTTGTACATTAGGTGCTTGCAATCTTTCTTACGAAGGAAAGTGTCACGGGACATAAAAAAACTGATAAGTTCTAAATTAAACTGTCCGTGTTATCAAATACTCCTGATTCGTACCTGCATGTTAAATAATCGGAGGATTGTGATCTTTTTTTTATTTGATGAAACTTGAATGAGTACCATTATACTGTTATCCGCATATCGTTGCCATTATATTATAACATTGTGGATTGCAAGTGTCCGTTTTATTACAGATTATTTATTATTCTTATTTTGAAATGCATGTAAAGTTGAATTTATAACCCCTTCGTTACATAAGGAAAGAGAAGGGACATTTTCAGCGATTTCATTTTCTTTGTATTACACTAAATAAGTTAATTAAGTGATTTCAATCTTTGAATTTGAATTGGGATATACGATTATTACTTCCATGTTAAAGTTACTTTCTTGAATAAATAGTTAGACTGTAGAGATAAAAACTACAATAGACTAAAATGATACAATTACAATGCATATAAGCATGGAAATTGTTTTCTCCTTATAATGACCAAAAACAGTTGTCGGGATTCTTGTGTAAAGTGTGATAAAAGACGTTTTGTTAAATAGTTTTGCTTTGAGATTTTACTGACTTGGACTGTTACGTCTGTCACAATTGCCGAGATTGGACATATTACTATTGAGTTCCCATTTTTTATCTATCATTTCACGTGACTTTTTCCATGGAGCTTTAAGACCGTTATCGGACGCACATAATTTTGTAAGTATGCAGGTAAATGAGATTGATATCATTAGTATTATAAAGAACAAATTAAAAAAAAATATTCAAAGCCTACTTATTTACTGCATACATGTAATTTTAACATACGATAAGAATATAATGGTTAAAGAATCTTGAAGCTTGTCCCTTTATTCTGACAATAAATACGTCTTTTAATAGTGCAAAGAGAGTGAGATTATAGCAAAAGCGCTTTAAACAAATCCATACTTTTTTTCCGGCAATTTACTTAAGGCTTTTTCATATAACTTCCAAATGGCTTTTGGATTCTCATAGTCAAATTTTCTATTGCACAGCAATGTTTTAATCAACGTTTAAGACGAGTCCTATTCTTTAAACCTCTGCTGCACCATCCGCTAGAGCAAAAGAAAAAAAGAAAATTAATGGATTTCAAAACCACAACACATACATAAGAGTGTATTGAAAGCGGTTAAGGTTTTATGTGAAACTTCGGGGTTGAGGATGACACTCGAAACACATTTGGCTGATATGTAATGTATTCTGATATGATTAAAATCCATTCTAATTGTATTAGTTTAGTGTTAACAAGAAATTTTTCAGCTGAAGGAAGCATATCTGTATCTATAGTGTGAGGTGCAACATGTTCTAGATAGAATCGAATAAACACACTGACAACGATGATAGTTTTGTGACCACTATGAAGATGATGAAAGTTAGGCATTGGTTTCCTAATTGATTTCCTAATATTTTTATTTTTATATCTTGTATCCTGCATACAGTACATACGACCCTTATCTTTTATTGTACTGAATATGAAACTACTTTACTCTTTTTCTCAGTAAATAGCAAAAACTTGTTACTTGTTAATATTTTTGTTTGTTTGTTCGTTTAACGTCCCTTCGAGAAGTTTTCACTCATATACTAATATATTGAGACGCCACCACTTGCCGGTGGAGGGCTGCAAATTAAGATCTGCAATAACGTCCTTTGAGCAGTGAGGGATCTTTTTCGTGCCAGCACTACTTCGACACGGGACCTCGGTTAAATCATCTGAAGGACCAGCCTCCAAGTCCCTAGGATTCGAACCCACGACGTAAAGATCAAATCCTTACTCCGCGACTCTAGAGCAAAAGCAGGCAGACACTTTAATATCATCATGAATCAAAACATTTATTTTCCTTACGACAGACAAGTAAAAGTTGCAACGAAAATTTGTTCCACATTGAATTATTTCTGAAAAATCTTAAATTGGCGTTTAATTGATTCATACTCAGGTCTGGCGAAATCACTAAACTGTGATTTAAATTCACAGCGTTAATTTTTAAGAGAAAATAATAGAGATGTTATTTTCATATGAAAACATGTACATCTCAAAAGTCACAATGGCAGATTTGCTGAACAATTTGGTGAAAAATGTAGGATTGGTTGCCTTTGTTTCTTTACAGCTCCTCTTATATGATGCAAAACTAATAACTTTAATGAAAATAATGATCTGCTACTTTTTAAAAGGATAGGTTCACCGATGGAGTTCTTTATTGACTAAATGAATTCTGGATTGGTACAAAGATTTGAATCGCTAGATGGTCCGTGGTCTTAAGATATTTCTCAGATTTACTGTATAAGTGACTTTTCTGTTCAGAAGATAATTATTTGTAAAAGTATATGTTTTCCCCTCCTTTTCCAGACCAAAACATGATTAAAACCCTATCAGTTAGAGGAGTGGACTCTACTCTCTGAACATGAAATATAAAAAAATATTAATATTTTCTCAATGAATTTTGTTTTAAATGTTGAAGGAGAATATGAAATGAACCTTCTTAATTTAATGCCCGGTTAGCATTTTAAATTTATAATTACATAATTCCCTTAAACCTGCATGGTAGATTTCTGAATGACAAAACTTGTAAAACGTAGATATGTTTCTCTTTCTGAGAAAGAAAACAAATGTAATGTTACGACAATAAAAACTTCACTCTCTGCCATCGGCTCATATATTCATCCCTGGCTCGCGTATATCACAGTAATAAGCACGAGAAATAGTGCATTTGTTTTAATTAAATATGATTAAACGCCTGCGCTAATGTTTGTCATTTAAGGCTCTACTCGCATAAGTACATCTTAAACTTTTTGTTTCATTTATTTAAAAAACAATCATGTGAATATCATATTTTTTTCTTGATGTCAAAAATCTTTAAGCTAGCCCATTGCAGAGGTGTCTGAAAGAGGAGCGAACTACAACTCTGCATGGGAGATTGTAGAAAGTTATGTTATGATGGGATCCTGTAGCAAAATTAATATTCACTTTTGAAAGTAAGAAGAGAATCTTAAAATAAAACTTTACTTGAAAATTCTTTCTGCCTCCTCCTCCTGCTCCTGTTCTTTCTCTGAAAGATCTTCTAAACCTAATGTCTACCCCGACTCCAACTTCTACACCTCTCCCTGCATCTCTACCGAACGTTGTAATATCAAACTTGCCCATTTTAACACCGAGGCTTGCATCCCAACGTCCATCAGTATCTACTGATCCCTCGCCCGTAATTTCCAAATTTGGTGTCTTAACATTTAGACCCCCTCCAACTTTTCCACGGAAATTTGAAGATGCCCATGCTGTTACAGGTGAATTATTTTTGTCCGGAATTTTAATGATTCCCTCTGGTCCACTGTCTCCAAATGTTACACCCAACCCAATTGGTGGAAAACTTAATTGGGTGTCTGGTATTTTCGGACTTTGAGGTTCAACCGATGTCAGCAATGCAAACAAAAGCAAAGTCAAGTGAAATTTTACCTAGAATGAATAAAGAATAATTGTAAAGTGTACTTTTGTCAATGAAAATAAGGCCAATATCAAATTATTATATTAAGTATCATCTAAGAAATCAAGGGAGGGGGGAGAAAAATTAGTGTATTTAATGGTCCAACAACCTGTGGGAAAGGGGAGGAGAAGAGTACCTGAATTAAAGCCATCAAATCATCCACTTACTGTGACATTCTTTTATGCTCATTTAAATAAAGTAGGCAAACTATTTGCATGTGTATAAAAGGAAGATAAATGTCTACAAAATGAAAAAAATAAATTTCTCCTTCAGGAGTTCAGGCCCTACTGATAGACTAAGTTTCTCCTATTTTGCAATTATATTAAAAATTGAAAAAAAAATCTTTCCACGTGGATAACTATCAAGTTTAGTGCTTGCATGATACTTATCAGCAGATATCCCTCTTCCAAAATTTTGAAATTTACGTTCCTTGGTTCCAAGGACCAGGGTGATGTTAAAGTGGTCATAATTTGATAATCCTTTTTTACTCGTGTTTTACTCGTTGATTTCTAAAAGGCTGGTCGTTTGCAAGATTATTATTTTTTACCCTAGTCTGTGGATAAGTCCATGAAAAAGTGGAACATAACGAACAGTGATCGAGCTCAAAAAACCTTCAAACAATACAATCTGTTGAAATTCAAGAAGTGGGATCAGGCGGAGTAGGTACATGTATCCCTGTCGACCTGTCACACCCGCTGTTAGCCTATTTTAAACATCGAAAAACATTCTACTTTTTAGAGGTTCTTTATTTTGGACATTTAAAAGGTTAATTGTTTACATAATTATAAAGAGCCGCTAGTTTTTACCAAAAAAAAAAAAAAATGAAATTCGTGTACCCTCGATCCACAAATTAGACCCTAAGGAGGCTCTTAGTTAGACATATACAGGTAACTCTTGATGGCTAAAACTTCGATCTTTCGAAGTTTTTGATCTCTCGAAAAGAGTCTCCGGTTCCGATTTTTTTCACTATATAACAAAACAAATTTACTCTTGATCTCTCGAAGTCTCTCAATCTATAGAAACCCTTGATCCCTCGAAGTTAAAATGCAGTCCAGCTATGCATAATCTATTGTAATTTTCCCTAGATACCTCGAAGTGGCTATGAGTACGCAAGCGTTAATTACCTGGACATTTAAATTGCCTAAGGGATTAGAGGCGGGACCCGAGGAACAGGATGTTTATTTAGGTGACACTTGTACTGCAAGGTGATAATTCACTGATACAAATATAATTAATTATATTGTTGCCTGTCTGCTCTTAAAATAATTAACATCGACAGTTTTATAATAATTTGGAGACGCAGTGACTCGTATAGAAATTGATTATGAGACGAGACAATTCTGAGTAAGTGTCAAAGTGAAATAAATAATAAAAATGCAGAAACTATGCATAACAACTTTAATGTCAGTATATGACGACTTTTGCAGAACAAATGTTACAGAACTGTGTTCGATGTTTGATATTAAAGATACAAATAGACTTTGCTACAACGCTATGCAATTTCATTTTCATGTAACAATTGCGTAATATAATGTTCGCCTTACATAGAATAAATAAATATAATGACAGTATACACTTCTGTCCTTCATTCAGTTTTAAAGAAAGCAGATCTGTATATTCACCTAAAATATACAAAGAAGTATTAAGCACGTGTGTAAGATTAGCACTGGAAATGAATGAAAATCAAATAACAGCCGGTTAGACTAATTTTAAAACCAGTTAACCAACCCCAAAAACTCGAACTCTTGATCTCTCGAAGTTTTTTCCTCGGTCCCGTGGACTTCGAGTATCAAGAACTTGTATTGAGATAAATAATGCACAACTGAAAATCTAATTTACTAATGGACATCTAGCAGAAAATTAACTGTTTTTATAATTTTTATGAGCAGCTTGTCTGAACATCCATGTCCCTTTCGTAAAGACCCAATTGGTTGGGCCATCTTCAAAAATATGTTTGCTTGCCCTCTCCCGACTAAGGATAGAAGTATAAGGTGGGTAAGTAGGGGAACAAATTATTCAAAAAACATGCGAATCTAACGTTAAAATAGTTATTGATGGTTTGAAAAAAACTTAAAAAAAAAAAAAATAATAATAATAACTGTTCTCTGGAAAAAAAAAGTTTTGAGTCTAGGCATTTTTAGTCTGTGGGTCAGGAGAGGGCAAACAAACATTTTTTTAAAGATGGCCTTGGCTTGAAGTCTTATAATGCGAGTATTAACTGAAAATTGCCCTTGCTTTGGGTCCTATTGAGAGATAAGATCGATCATCTATTACAAATAGATTATCTTTTAAAATCTTTCCATGAGGATATCTAGTTGGTTTACAGTTTGCATGATCATAATAAGCAACTTGCCCTATTCCAAAAGTTATGCTCCCTGGTTGCAGGAATCAACAGGCTTAATTTGACATATATTTAAAATCATATTCTTTTGCATGCTTTGTTTTTCTCAGGGACACTTTAAAGTCTAATTGTTTGCATGATAATAGTCAGCCATCTACCAAAATTGTGAAATCATGTCTTATGGATGCAGGCTAATGAATGCCTTTGTATGGGGATGTTAGTCATACATATTAAAAATACACCTTGAAAGGTATTTTTCTTTCATGCTCGATATTTAAGAACCTACTCATTTGCATGATTATAATAAATCGCTGTCTTATGTATATTAGCTGTCTTATGTTTTTCAGCCGGATCCATCCCAAAACCCAGAGTTGAGGTCCATACAGCTAAATCATTTTGACTCTGACAAAGAATCAAGGCATTCTTCTAAGCGTGGTAAGGGGTAGGCATCTTTGACTGTCACATCATTCAGTTTCCAATAATCGACACAAAATCTGGTAGAACCATCTTTCGTGGTAACCAGGACGATAGGAGATGACCATGCGCTATTTGATGACTCAATGACATATCTTTTCTGCAATTTTTCCAGCTCCTGTTTCTCCACTTCAAGTTTGCCAAAAGGTAATCTCCTTGGAGACTGTCTAATTGGATTTGCTGGACCAGTGTTGATACTGTGCTGTACCAAATCTGTTCTCCCAAAGTCATCTGATGATTGCGAAAAGACATCCTGGTACTTAATTAGCTGGTTCTGTAACTTGACAGTTTCTTCATTCTGTAGGAACTACGTTGAAGAAGGTCAAGAAGGTGTTTAGGCAGTTTGGGGTTGCTGTCATTGGGATTCTTAGATTCTGAGATCTTGCAACATGACTGGTCTGGAGAAGTAGGCTGTTCGGAGAAGGACTCACAAGTGTCAAGTTTCATATTTGGATAAAAAGTAAGTTGGCTGCTGCTAAAATTTTGGATGGTTGAACGGGTGTCTACAATTCCTGGGACAAGGGAGATGTTTTTGTCTTGAAAAATTGCTGCTGGTGTTTCTAAAAGGCCAAACTCTGCTAAATGCTCTGCTTGAGGCATTAAAATTGGAATAATAACTTTTGTTTCAGGTGAAATGATCATCGTCTTCTTGACTGTAACCCTACAAACCGTGCTTGCTTCACCTCCAAGCCAGCACTTGATATCACCTTCATGGGTACATAGAACCATTGTCCCCAGATCCAATTTCTGCATATTCTTCATCAGGAAATCTTGACCCAGGATACCTTCATTCAGCACATCACATACAACCACAGGAAGGGTACACTTCAATGGACCAAGTACTGCTGGAATTTCTGCATGACCGTAGACTGTAATTTCTCTGTTGTTAACATCAACCAGTGTCCTTTCTTCCTTCCTTAGCTTTGGCTTGACATGAGGGTCTATGCTGTCAAACACATACTTGGAAATGATTGTTGCTGTTGAACCTGTGTCAACTAAAAAATTGTTTGAAGACCACCCACCAACCCCGATAAAAAAAGGCCATCATCCCACATCTTTTCAGTTTTACCAATGTGTCCTAATCTAATATATTCATCACAATCTAAATTTTCTGTAGGCCTTTCATGTCCATCATCCGCCAAGCTTCAACCTAGTAAGCCGACGGTTTGAAGTTTCCCTGTCTGGTTGCTCTCTGTTGCTTGCTGCTAGGATTGTAAGATCTGTTTCTTATGTCAGAATTTTGTTTGTTCATAGGGCAATCTGTCAAGAAGAGGTCAGGGGCATGACAGATGTAACACTCTCTGTTGTTGAAATTCTGTTTTCCACCAAACTTACCTATCCGTCCGGACTCTATCTTTTCAAGCCTAGCTAGGATCTCCTTTAAGGTATCTGTCACTTCCGTCTGGACTGCATTGGCACCACTCTAACTTTTTCTGATGTCCTTCTCTTCCTCAATGTCTCTGACAGATTGTTTCAGTTTCTCACCATCACCTAGGACAGCTTCATATCGCTCAATGACTTCTACAGCATCTGCAATCGCCTGGCAGTCTTTATCTATGCAACGGCACTTCATTTCTAATGATATTCTTTTAGTATATATATATAATGTTATACTTTTATAGAGCTGACAGTGCCTCTTGTGCCAGAGCATCCAGGTTAGGATAGGCTTTCTATGACATCCGCCTGAAATCGTCGGCAAAAGCTGCTAGAGATTCGTTTGGTGTGCGTCTCCTTGATTCATATCTAGAGAGCCAACGATTTTGTTGTCGGGAACTTCCAAATCATTGCTCAAGTTTGTCAACAAGGACAACATATGGTTCCCTAGATTCAACAAGTAGACTTATGCAGAAGGTGCGTGCAGGGCCCCGTAAACATGCAGCTAGCACTAAAACCTTGTTATGGTCACCCCATCTTCCCAATTCAGCACAAACTTCAAAGTGTGAAATATACTTTTGCCAATCGTCGCTGCCATTGTACGGTTCCGGTTTTAGATTTAAACCCATCGCACCTGGTCTAGGTTGCCAGTCACCTGCACCTCGTCTATCTAAGTCAAGATCAAATTCATCTTCATGTTATGATAGCTGATCGACCTCATTCTGTTGGTCTTGTGGTATATTTAGAACGACTTTGTTATCAGGAGATGCAATTTTGCGTCAA